CAGCAGCAGTGTTGCACATACCTCCTGGACTTGGTTTTACAGCGCGGGCCGCGCCAGTGACAAGCCGCCGCCCCGTAAGGCACCCTCCCCTCGTAATGCCCCCGGCGTTAAGCCCTGACAGACTAACCCAAGTGAGTCTGAGGGCGTAAAATCAAACGACGTTAAAAAGGTGGAAAAAGGGGGGGGGGGGAGAAGAGCGATTTGCCCGGCAACCGCTGCTGGCAACTAAAAGCAGGAGTTCTTCCGAGCCCCTCTCCCCTCCCCGCCTTCCTTCTCTAAAATAGCGGGCGTTTCCAATTTACGTGGAACACGTCCGCAGAGACATAAGGAGCTCTGGGTGTTCGTAAAAGACAGGAGGTGGGGGGAGGAGAGGGGGGCAAGAGTGAGAGGGAGAGAGTGACGCGTGCGAGGGAGAAGGACACGACAGGAGAGCAGTGTCGGGCGAGAGGTGAAGGGGAGAGAGAAACAAGGAAGATTCACTAAGTTGTAAATGACAGCGATAAATTATACACACCCTCTGCGAAAACCCTGAGGCCGAGTCTTTTGCGAAATGTGACTGGGCGGCCGGGGGACGACTTTTCTATTTCGTCTCCCAATAGTGCTCCGCTCCGCCCCACGAGGTGGGCGCTCGCGCGCGCTCACACAACGACGACGGCCGTCCCGGGCCACCCTCGTCCCGCCTCGGAGCAGCGAGCATTCAAAGCAGACAAACAGACAGACAGATGAGCTGGCAGGCGGCCTGCCCCTGGCCTGGCCTGCAGGACGAGGATGGAGGCGAGGACGTGCAGGGCGGGGACGAGACGCCCCCCGGCGGACGCCGCGCTGTCTTCTTGTCACACAATACAAATTACGCTAGTTTGGTCGTGATGTGATGCCTTATCTCGCCCTCTCTTCTTCCCCCCACCCCTTTCTCCCCCGCTTTCACTCTCTCTCTCTCTTAGTCTCTCTCTCCCTCGCTCCCTCTCTTCACCACCCCATCATCATACACAACTGGCGAGAGTTCCCGGCAATGCTTTTTTGCCTATACTTTACGTCGGACTGTAGCAGGAATTGCCTGCCCATAGGTGGAGGAGCGGGGGGGGGGGGCATGGCCTTTCTTCGCCCCACAGACACAACAACAAATGTGTTGCATCGCACTGAAAGCTGTAGTCGTGGATGCATTTAGCAAGTACGGTGGAAATTTAAAATTTTTATATTACACATCCTGAAAAGAAAGTCAGCACTGTCGACTGAACTACGGAAACGACCTTTTCAAGCGCCCAACTATAAACTCCACTCTTCCTCGTATCCTGCTGTGGCGGCACGGCGCGGTGACAACAAACTCTGCTCCAACTAAAACTGCCCCTTTCCTCTTCCGGTTCCTCTCTCTTCCTTTGCCTGGGGCGGTAAGGGCGCCTCCAGGAAGGCGGGCTGCAGGTACGACGACAGCGGTGTGCCAGACAAATCTCCAGGCCCCACGCCGCTGCCGCTGCCGGCTGCGCCGGGGGTGCGCGTGCGCCCTTAGCTGGGGGGCCTGAGCCTCAAGGTGCAGCCTCGGCGGCAGCTCAGGGTGGTCGGCGGCCGCCTTTGAGCCGGGCTGGCGCACAACTCGTTAGGCCTGCGGACCCTGCGGACCCTGCAGTGCGCTGTGCGTGTCCAATGCATCGGCAGCTCTGGGTGGCGGGGCGGGGGGCGGGGCAGGGCGCGTGGCGAATGCAGGCCATTCCGTCGCATAACAGCACTGACCGAGGGTCCAGGTGAAGGCCGGCATATGCTGCGGGGACCACCGCGGCAGTGCTGCTGCTGGCTTCCGGTCCACGTTATTAGCCTCTGACCGACCAGGTCGAGGGCCAGGGCGACGCGCAGGGTGGCCCACAGACCCCGGAGTATACTTGGTTGAACTGTGAGTTCCAAAACGACGCCTTGTAACTCCTTGAGAGTAGGCAACGCGTCCACACAACACAGTGACGAATTTTATTCCCTTGCTGCAGATGATTTATTATTAGCAAAACTTGTCCCATACAGGACGCACAAAATCATATGAAGGAAGAATGTTGCATTCCAGTCTTGTTGTCCGCTTGTCTGACTCGAGCCTTGTCTGTTGCAGCGAGCGATGGCGCTGGACGTGCTGGGCTAGAGGCCGCTGCCCGCCCCGCTGCGGTGATGCCGGCCTGAGCCCCGCGGACCCTCGGCCATGGGGCTGCCCTGCGGCCTGCCCGGCGGGCTGGCCCTGCCCCTGCCGCTGCTCCTGCTGTCGCTGCTGCTCCGCGCGCCGCCCGCCAGCGCCGCCAACGCCAACTGGATGTGAGTACACACGGCGACGCGCACACATTCGAAATGGAGGGAAACAATTTTGATCTTTAAATGGGAACGCCTATCTGTGCCCATCTAGACCAGATGCAAATTTGTTCCTAACACCAGACAAACGGTTTTACTGAGAATCAAGAGAAGATCAAGAACAAGAATACGTCTTAGCTCTTGAGACATTAGTTTCATTTCATTCGGCCCAAAATGAACCTCAGTTGTTTCAGTCGAATTTTAAGATTCAGTAAGTTTTCGTAAGTGTATTCAATAAAGATGGTCATGCGATTGCACTAGTTATTGTAGGTGTGGTAGTCCCTATCCGTCCCCGTACACCCCCTCCTCCCGGAGAGGATGGCCCGCCGGTGGTGGCCGCTCCTCTCGACGGCGCGGCTTTATGACGCGAGAAAGAGAGCGGCGGGGTCGCTTTTTCGTTGTTATTAAGAGGCGAAAGAAAGAGGCTTGCTCTTTTCTTTTTACCGGCTTTTGGTCGTCGCCGTTGTCTTTTCGTCTCGAGGACGGATAACGCCCGACGGATTAAAGTCACCTTTGCAGCCCGCCGCGGAGCGCGCCGGCTATTGTGGAACCAGAGCGACGAGGACGAGGCCGGGCCCCGCGCCGCGCCCGGGCCGCGGTATAAGGTGCCGGGATGGGAGGAAGTTAAGGTGAGGGAATAGCAGCCTTTTAAGAGGAGCTCCAAGCTGATAACGTTAATAGAGGGCGTAATAAAAGCTTACCTCGGGCCAGCGAGCGGGCGTGCCGTGCCCCACCCCGGCCTGCCCCGGCCCGGACCGACCAGCACTGCCGAAAATGTTTAATAGCGCCATATCGCAGGGGCGATGACGACTGTGTCCGGAAATTTCGTCGTCATCCTGTCGCGTGATGAAACCCGCAGCAGAGAGAAACACTGTAAGAACAACTTTGTAATCTCCCGCGTGCATGGGCGGTTGTTGAACGGAATTTTTCTAGACCAAGGAGAAAGTGATCGACTGTTTTTTTATTACAGTGTGACCACACCTGACGCCGTGGCTGAGAGGGGGAAGGAACGGGTAACGATTAAAGCTTAGGAGCCGCCTCACTGTTGTGTGCCGCCCGGACTGCTGTGCCGGCCGAGGGGGGATCTTCTCCCCTCCCTTCTCCTCCCCTTCTCCTCCCCGTCTCCCCTCTCTTGTCCCCTCTCTCTCCCCTTCTCTCCTGCTCCTCACATGTCCAAGCCCGCCCGTCCCGTCCTTCCCCCGCGCGGTGGAATGTGACTCACCTGTTGGGCCAGGAAGCGTACGTTATCATCCGCACCTCCTCTCGGCGCAAAACTTCTCCCGGCAGTTGGGTGATAGCTTCACTCGCTCCGGAAGCAACCTCCCCTTTACCCCTTCCCCCTTAACTCCCATACTACTTCACAAAACCGACACGTCTTCCTCTTACCATTTAGTCTGTCATTGTATTGGTTTGTTTGAAAAATATTTGTGTCGATCGGTGG